AAAGTTTGAGCAGACTTATTAATAATCAGAAAAGTAATCATAATGGTAAGTCCTATTTTTGTAAATATTGTAATCATGGATGTAGAAATGAAGAATTATTAAATAAACATTATGATAGTGGATGCATGGAAGTTGATGGTCAACAAATAGTAATGCCTAAGCCTTATGAGAAAGTTAGTTTTAAGCATCACTTCAAAAAGTTAAGGTGTCCTTTTGTTGTATATGCTGATTTTGAATGTTTGACAGAGGAACTGAAAAAACCTGATGAAGATGAAGATAAAAACACTTTTTCTTATCAAGAGCATAAGCCATGTGGTTTTATGCTTAATATGGTTAATGCTGTTGATAATACAAATTATGAATTTATGTATCGTGGTAAAGATGCTGTTGATGTGTTTTGTCAAAAACTTAATGACATTAGGGCAGAAGTAAAGGAGAAGATGGGAGAAAACGAAAAAATAGACATGACTGACGAAGACAAAGAAGATTTTAAAAATGCTAAAAACTGCTTTATTTGTGGGGATAAGTTTAGAATGAACTATAAGAATGCCAAGGAAGCAGAGAAATATAGAAAAGTTAGAGACCATTGTCATTTTACAGGTAAGTATAGAGGTTGTGCTCATAATGTTTGCAATCTTAATTTTTGTAATAGATATTTTAAAATTCCAGTATTCTTTCATAACATGAAAAATTATGACGGTCATTTAATTATTCAAAATGCTGATAAATTAAGTAACAACAGTAAAATAGGTGTCATCGCTCAGAACAGTGAAAAATTTATTAATATCAGTTTTGAAAGTTTGAGTGTTAAAGACACTTTTGGGTTTTTAACTGCTTCATTAGATAAGTTAGTTTCAATGAGTAAGTATGATAATACAGATGAAGAAGATAAAAGTAAATGGTTATTGCGTGAAGACTGGAAAGATAATTTTAGGTTCAGTAGTAAAAATGATTTGATTAAGAGTGAGAAATGTCTAGATTTATTAACTGATAAAGGCGTTTATCCTTATGACTACATGAATTCATTTGATAAATTTGATGATGAGCAATTACCGAGTAAGGACGATTTTTATAGTCGGTTGAGTGAAGAAGGTATAAGTGTTAACGACTATGAAAGGGCAAAAATTATATGGAAGCATTTTGACATTAAGAATATGGGTGAATACCATGATTTATATTTGAAAACTGATGTATTATTATTGACTGACATTTTCGAAAATTTTAGAGATGTGTGTATGAAATATTATGGATTGGACCCTGCTTATTATTATACATTGCCTAACTTTGCTTTTGATGCTATGCTTAAAATGACTGGTGTAGAGATTGATTTAATATATGACCAAGAAATGTATGAAATGATAGAAGCGGGACTTAGAGGCGGGATGTGTATGGTTTCTACTAAAAAAGTTGAAGCAAATAATAAATACATGGGAGAAGAATATGATAAAAATAAAGAAAGTAGTTATATTAACTATTTTGATGCTAATAATTTGTACGGGTTAAGCATGATACAAAAACTGCCATATAAAAATCTAAAATGGGATGATACATTAAAAGAAGAAGACATTATTAATTATAAGAATAATAATATTGGATATATTCTAGAAGTGGATTTAGAATATCCTAAAGAATTACACGATTTACACAATGACTATCCAATGGCACCTGAGGTTATGAATGTTAAAGCCGACATGCTGTCAGATAAACAAATTGAAATTTATGAATTTTTAAATCATAAAAAACCTACGGATGAGAAAACAAATAAATTAGTATTGAATTTAAATGATAAAGAAAAATATGTAATCCATATAAGAACCTTACAATTTTATTTGAAGCAAGGGTTAAAACTTAAGAAAATTCATAGAGCAATTAAATTTGAACAAAAAGAAGTTTTAAAACCTTACATTGAGTTTAACACTGAGAAGAGGAAGAATGCTAGAAATGATTTTGAGAAAGATGTTTACAAATTGATGAACAATGCCATATTTGGAAAAACAATGGAGGATAAAAGGAAACATTTAGATTTTGAGGTTGTTAGTGATGAAACTAGATATATGAAGTGTGTAAGTAATCCTAACTTCAAACATAGTCATATCATTAATGAAAATTTGGTTGGAGTTGAAAAGCAAAAAACAAAGTTGAAACTAGACAAACCTATATTTATTGGGATGAGTATTTTAGATTTGAGTAAGCAACACATGTATAAATTTTATTATGACGTTATGAAGCCTAAATATGGAGATAATATTAAAATGGTATATACTGATACTGATAGTTTTGTATTTCATACTAAAACCAATGACATTTATGAAGACCTGAATACAATTAAAAAAGAATTAGATTTTTCAGATTATCCTAAGGAACATAAATGTTATGATGATAATAACAAGAAAGTATTAGGTAAATTTAAGGATGAATTAAAAAGTAAAATAATAACAGGGTTTATAGCTCTTCGTCCTAAATGCTATGCTTACTCAGTTTATGGTGATGATAAAAAATATAAGAAATGTAAGGGCATAGCAAAAGGCACAGTAAGACGTCAAATGAAATATGAAGAGTTTGAGACGGTTTTAAAAACTAATGAGGTTATACATAAGTCATTTAATAGTATTAGAAGTAAAAACCACAGAATTTTTAGTATAACAACTAAAAAAAATGCTCTTAGTAGTTATGAAAACAAAAAATATTGGTTAGATAGTATAAACTCACTTGCTTACGGTCATTATAAAATAAATTCTTTGAAAACGACTTAAAGAAATATTGACTTAATATATTAAGAGGAAAATGACACTGTTTAATTATAGTAAGTGTGAATGTTGTAATAATAAAAAGAATGATATTAATTTTACATTGTATAACTTATTACCTGCTAATCTATGTAATAAAATAAGTGAATATGATGTATATTGTAATCAATGCTGTATAACAAGAGACCTTGAAAAGTTTTTTGTTGAAGAACATAAGGATAAGGGATATACAAAGTTTCAATTACAATTGAAATTCTTTATGAGATATCAAAAACGATTTCCTGTATGTTTTTACCATAAAATTGCTAGAAAGTCATTTGAAAAAGAAATAGAAGAGTTTTTTAATAATAAAGATTTGATTAAAAGGTTTGGAGGAGAACTAAGCATTAAACCATATAAATCATTTGCTAAAGAATTTCGTGATTTGTTTGAAGAGATTGATTGGCATTTATTAAGCAAAGATAAAATAAACGAGGTCTTGAATGAATTTAGAATAACTAAATATACTATATGGTATTACCGCAGCACCAAATATAAAGTATGTCTATTAGTTAATTTGTTTTTCTGGGAATATATTTATTCAATAATAGGAAAAGACAATATCAAATATATAGACATTGGTGATATTGATAAATATGTAGATTACATATTTGAAGACATATTTCCTGACTATTATTTTAATCCTTAATTCTTAATTGAAATATAAGTATAACATGTAAAATATTATATGCTATAATTATATTATACTTATGGTTAGATTCTTAATTTTTATTAATGCCTTAAAAATGACTTAAAGAAAAAGTGCCTTAATATAATAAGAGGAAAATGAACGGTGATAAAATCAATAATTATATCAATAAAACATGCTATGATTGTTGTCACTTCAAAAAAGAAAATATGGAATTGTATAAATTGAATTTATCTAATGAAATAGTGAATAATATTATTTATTATGCTTTGGGTAAAGAAGATTTATGTAAAATTTGTAGAAATTGGAGGTTTCATCAGCAAATAATTGAAAATCATTTAGATATTAAAATGCTTAATGAAAGAAATGTAGAAGATGACATCTTAATATTTCTAACTGTGTATAAAACACCACCTTATAGTTATGTTAGAGCATTTCTGAAAATCAGTGAGAAAAAGTATGAAATGATAGACTGCATATTATGGATGTTGGTTTATCGTCAAAAGGAAGGAGAAGATGTTAAAGAAAATATCAAATTATTTATTGAAAGTAAAAAGTTTAATATTCAAAATACATTGAGAGATATTAATATTATTTTTAAAATGATGTATGAAGAAAATATCAAATTATTTATTGAAAGTAAAAAGTTTAATATTCAAAATACATTGAGAGATATTAATATTATTTTTAAAATGATGTATGAAAGAAGTAAGACAAATCAATTAAATTATCATCCTGTACTGAAATTATAATCATACTATGATTATCACATGTAAACTATTATATGTTATAATTGTATAATACTTATCGTTTGCAAAGATTGAATTATTATAATTTGCTTATCTCTTTCAAAGTGCGTTGTTTAGACTTGGCATGCTTCTTCAATTTTTTCGTGCTTTGGCTGTTTGTTTTTGTTTTGTTTGATACTCTTATGATATTTTTTGTTAGTATGTTGCTTTGTTTTTTGTTGATGTGTGTTTTTGAGTTTGGGTTCTTTGATGATTTAGAGTGTTGCTGTTTTGTTGGTATGCTTGATTGAATTATTTAATGTTGCATGCTGTGATTAAATATTTTTGTTGCTGGTTGTGATTATTTATTTTGTTTGCTTGTTGTTCTGGATTTTGTTTTCTGTTTGTTGTGTTGCTGTTGGAGAAAAAATAGTAGAAAGAATAATTCTTTGAATTCTCCTTTTACTATTTTTTTCCCCCCCCCCCCTCCCCCCCCCCCCCCCTACCCCCCCGCGTGTCTTTGTGTCTGTCTGGCTCTGTCTGCGTCTGCCTGCGCATCTGCGTCTGTCTTCGTGTCCGCGAAGACCCTCCCCCCGCTGCGTGTCTGCCTGCGTGTCTTTGTGTCCGTCTGTGTCTGTCTACATATCGCGTGCTTTCTCTCGTCCCGGGCCGAAATTCTAAGGTGTGTGTGGGGCGGCGGAACCAGGCCGCAGGCCATTAAATAGGACCAAGAAGGCTGACCTCGTTTTGCTCCCTGATTCAGCTCGACTCAAACCTTTCAAAATGATGGCCGTCCAACACACACACACACACTCCAAGGACCTCTTGCCAAAGCGCTGATGTAGTCCTTCGCATTCCGCCTGTTCGTGACTTTGTCGATCTTCTGGAAGTTCGGAAGGCCGTAGCTCCTGTCAACCAACCTACGCACAATTCCTTCGTGCAGGTTCTATCATCCCCCCTCTAGACTTGCCGACATGCAAGGGGCTGAGCCACCGAGTCTTGCAAGGCAGCTGTCGCAATGCAGAGTCCTCAGGAAGAAGAGGGCGCAAGCACACCAGCACAAGGCCTGGCAAGCGCTTGGCAACGGGCCTGACAAAACCACAACAACCTGAAGACAGTTGGATAGTCTGAAGCTCAGACGGGGACTTGGGGGTGCAGTCTGAAATCACAAGTTCTTTCTGGGTAGAGACTTTCGTATTTCAAACGAGGTTTTGGGGACGCAGACTTGCTCTGCCGCAATACTCGGGCCGGCGGCGGAAGAGGGCAAGTCTGCATTCCCAAACGCAAGCCTTTTGGCCTGTGGTCACCTCGCACAGCCTGAAAGTCTGTATCTCTGAGGACCTGAGGTCTGTTCGACAAGGCAGCCCTGACATTAGCAGAGCGTTTCGTTCAATTCTTTGTTCGTTTCGGCGATGGAGGCCGCCCATAGAGTGCCCGTTTGCCTCGCACCTCGTCGCGCGCTCTTCAAGGTCCAGCTTTGTGTTGGCAAGTCAAGGCTGTCAATGAGAATATCTGGGCTGAAGGTGCTAAAGAAACATTTCAGGTTTGCCGTAGGCGGGTGATATTCTCTACGAATAGTCTTCTCGTACTCTTTCGGCAGTCTTTCCATGATTTTCATGAAGTCTTCCTGCAATCTTCTGGTCGTCTTCCTGTAGTCTTCTGATAGTCTTCAAGGTTCTAAGACGCATTTTCCAGTGGCCGCCATGCATTTTTGAACCTGTCGGGCACCCATGCCGGTCTCTACAACAGATTTGAAGGCTAACGACATCTGGCAGTCACCCCATTCAGTATTCTTCAGGTAGTCTCCTGGAAATCTTCCCGTAGTCTTCCCGTAATCTATAGGTAGATAGATTAGGGGTAGGTAGGTGGGTGGTTGGGTGGTTGGGTGGATGGGCGGTTGGATGGATGCATGGATGCATGGATGCATGGATGCATGGATGCATGTGACGAATTTTCAAATGGACGCATGGACTGCGGGACGGATGGACGGATGGACGGATGGACGGATGAACGGATGGACGGATGGACGGATGGACGGATGGACGGGTGGACGGATGGACGGATGGACGGATGGATGGATGGATAGGCAGATAGAAAACGACAAAGAAAAAGAAAGAGAAAGAAAAGGATAAATAGAAAGAGAAGAAGAGAAAAAACAATGAACCAGATAAAGAGAAATGAAAGAGAAAGAATAGAAAGAGACAGAGAAAAGAAGAAAAAAGACAGAAAGAAAGCAAGAAAGACAGAAAGACAGCAAGACAGAAAGACAGAAAGACAGAAAGACAGAAAGACAGAAAGACAGAAAGAAAGACAGAAAGAAAGAAAGAAAGAAACAAAGAAAGAAAGAAAGAAAGAAAGAAAGAAAGAAAGAAAACATACCGAACTCAAGAAAGAGACAGAGAGAGAGAGATAAACAAGAAACAAAGAGAGAAACACGGAAAGAGCAAGAAAGAGAAAAAGAGATCGAGAGTTCGGGCTCCGGGGATGCCCCCCCTTTCCGAAAACGAGAGGGGGCCTGTGAAACCGGGCCATATTACCGTCTATCCCAATGGGAGTTCTTGAGTTCGACATCGACCGGCTTCGGCTTCACACAACCTTGCAGGTCCAGTCAGAGCTGTGGGCTGCGACCAGGTACAGCGCCGCAGCGCTAAGGTTCAGAATCGTGTGGAAGACTGCGAAGTTTCCTCACGAGCGCCATCTCAGGGACACCATTTTGGCAAGCGGCAGGGACGTCCGCTACAACGCAGCAGCGCGAAACAGCCAGCACGGCAAGCACGCAGCGCACACGCTCACGCGGCGCGAAGCAGCTGGCAGCCCAGAGTGTCGAGCACAAAACCAGAAATCACAAGCACCGCAACAGAACACGACGGATAACAAACACCATCAACACAAGCCAGACGTGATTACGATTTAATTGCCGCTAAGGTGGTGCCTGCCAGCAAGTGTTGTTTCTCGCTGGCGTTGCAAACAATGGAGTTTTAAGGTCGTGTCAACCGTTTTGGGAGGCGGGTGGTTGAGGGGCATGTCAACCAGCCGTTTTGGGGGAGTTGCAGAGCACGAGGCTCTTCAAGGCTGCATCAATCGTTCTGGGTGGTTAGCTGCGAGAATTTGCAGGGTGTTTTGAGAGCACATCAACCGTTGCTTTTGAGTTTGAAGGCCATGTCCACGGTTCATGGTATATACATCTTTCAGGCACGTCAACAGTTGTTTGAGGCAAGTCCACCGTGTTGTTGCGGGTGTGCCATCCGTTTGGGCTTGTTGAGGGATGTCAAGCTTTTGGCGAAGGTGTTTCGAGGGGACATCAAACACAAGCCAGTTGCGTCGAAGCGTCGTCCCTCCGTCACCCAGACAGCAGCACGGCCAAACACAACGCTGTTCCTGAGGCTCCGCGCGACGGAAACCAAAAATGCTCCTTTCAAAACCGATATGGCCCATTCCGTTTCATCTGAAGACACCTGGGTTTGAGTCAATGGGAAAATCACGAGCAGAACCCTGCGCTTCAAATCCAATCTTCGCACCCTGTGTTTGCTAGCAGGCTCTTGTTTAGTTTTTACCAAAAGCAAGCAAAACCAAATTGGCAAAACTGCAAGAACATTGAAGCAAACAATCATTGCAGCACTGCATCAGTAAGTAGCAAATCGCGATGCCAGTCAGGTGCATACGACGTGCTTTCTCGTCGCCATTTGCAAGGATGTCACCTAGGCCAAACAAACGCGGCAGGAATCAGGCACCATGTGACAACCAACAAGTTGTTTGCTTGCCCAACGGTGCAGCGGTTCTGTTTGCGTTCTGGTTGAAACTGATCAAGCTGGAAGTGCCACGGCATCCCTTCTCATCCTCCCGCCCAAGCAAATCAAGCAGGAGTGAGTTTAGATTTCTTGTCCTCTCCTCGTGTCTGGACAATAAGGCGATTGCCTGTCCAGTTCAGGTCCACAAAGAAAATGGCCACTGAAAACCTTGGATGCACACAGTGCAGCGGCTCTGACTCAAGCGAAGTAAGGGAAGTGAAATTCCCTCAGCCCTTTTGGATCCTCCTGTTGAAGAGAGGGCAAACACAGGCCCTGGTGCCCGAAACAAAAAGCTTCTTCCTGCCTCAAAACCGGCATACCAACCTAGCTTCAATTCCCCTCGAGAGCAGCGGCACAGCCACGGTCTCTTGCCGCTTGCCAGGAAGCGCCATGAAGAAGAGCCGATGGTCGACGCCGTCAGTGCTGAACCGCGTCGTCTCAGCTGCAGTTCACATAACCACAGCCACTTGGCGCCCTTTTAAAGGGATACGTATATGCATATATACACAAGTATAGCCGGCTAAACATATAAACTCCCCGTGTGTAGGGGCACTTGCTGTTGTTTTGGCGATCCCACTCGGCCTCACTGGAATGCACATGGAAACCTGCTGCTCGATTGCCTCACTTGCGTTTGCGCACCTGTGTCAGACTATCTGTTGAGCTACACTATCCGTCCTCTTTCTGCCAATCTGTTCATTGGGCTAAGCAACCCTTGTAAAGCTAGCTATCTGCTCAGCTGTCTAGCTGTTGGGCTACCTATCTGTCAATGTTTCTTTCTGCCACCTAGTCTTTTCAATTTCACTTTCTACCTACCTAATCTCACTTTCTATCAATCTACCCACCTACCTAGTCTAATCTGTGCTAATCTCTCTTTCCGTCTATCTTTCTATCTACCTAGCTATCCATCTATCTCTCTTTCCGTCTATCCGTGCGCTGCAGCAGTCACGCACTCATGTCGCGGTTCGCGCTTCTCCGGAACACGCGAAACACGCGCAGGGCGCTACGTGTGTCTGTATGTAGGTGGGCATGCGTGTGTGTGTGGGTAGGTGGGCGTGTGTCTGTGTGTATGTACGTGTGTAGTTATGTATGTCATACATACCTACACACGTACATACACACAGACACACGCCCACCTACCCACAATGTGTGCGCACATGCATGTCTGCATGTATGCATGTACGTGTATGTGTGTGTGTGTGTACGTATGTGTGTGTGTGTACGAATGTGTCCACACAGTACGCAAGCGCCTGTGTGTACGTGTATGCATGTGCATGTACGCGGGTAAGTCTGTACGCCAGCAGGGCCCCAATTTCGAAGATGACCGTCCCAAGCACCCTCCCGAACCCGACCATCCCGAGTTTCGCGACTGCCTCCGTCGGACCGCCCCAGCCGTCCCAGCCGCGACCGTGTTCAGAGGTTCCTCCTGCTTCCAAAATTTTGCCGTTCAATTCGTTTGCGAGTTTGGAATGTCAAAAGCGAATTCTCTGTCGACGTTGGGCTTGTTGCGTCGCTCTCATTGCGGCGGTGTGAATTTGCGAGATACATCCATAGTATGTGCACAATGCCCGGAAAATCCAGTCTGCCAGCCCAATGCGCCATTTAGTACACTTTTAAAAAGGCATCTGGGTAGATCACGCACAAGGAAGCCTCTCTAGAATATCTCAGACATTGACTGCCAAAGCAAGCTTGCCTATCATCCTTTGGGTAGCATGTGTTCTGTGTGATACCGATCCAACAAGTCTGAGATCCAGCACTTGATGGCGGCGCCAGCCATCCATCGCGCGAACACAACCGTATTGTAGAAATGAAGCCTTGACATGATTGGTTGGTCCCTGCCAACATTTAGCACATGGTGCACCACATTCTCCGTGGATCAATGAACGAAAAGACCCCCCCGAACAAAAGGACAAAGGAAACAATGCACCAAAACATGCCAGCCAGGAGGGTAGAATTGCTTTTGCTGTTTCGGTATTGTTTTGGCATTGTGACTTTGTTGTTTGGTCTAGGGAAAGTCTGGCGCAACACCTGCTTGCAACATATTTGCACAACGTTAGCCAAATATCTCTCGAATCATGGACGTATCAATCAGTGGACCAAGAGCTGCAAAAACAAAAGGTGTTTTACGGACTTGTGTGGTTTTGGCCTCTTGGGCCGTGGCAAATGTTATGCAAACATTTACGTGTCGTTAACTGACAGTCGGACAGATGTTGTCAGTTGCTGCTTAGCATGTGACATGTAGATGTCGGTAGCATACACACACACACACACACACGCACAAAGGGAACCAACTGCTAGCACTCTAATTGGCAGCACTCGTTGCATACACTGTGGGGCGTCTACGCCAAGGGCTCGTCGAAGCTCCTTCTGAGAGGCTTACTTGTTCTTTTGGCCCCCTGGATGTCCAAACTTGCGAAGGAAACTGTTCGCTGGTTGAGCACTGGTTTCCACAAAGGGAAAGCAAATAGTTTTGGCAACCCCCGAACCATTTGGAGGGGTAGCTCGTGCCGACACACCCATCTCCTCCAGCCATGCAAAATGGGTTGGCCATGCTTGTTGATGAAATGGTTTAGCTCTTCAGGCCGAAAGTCCTTCCAATGAACTAAGTGTCAAGACAAGCCATGGCCCCACCAAAGTTGCATAGTTGCCTTCGTGTTGGCTCTCTTCAGACGCGTTAAGTACCACCCGAGATGCCCCAGCAAAAGGCACAACTCGTGATAGTTCGCCCCCTGCAGGCCAAAGCGCATAGTCCGCAGAGGCGAGATAAAGGACCCAGTACGTGGACAAGGAAAGGATCAGGGACGAGAAAGTGATGGAATTTGCCGCATATGCCATAGCAGCACCTGCCTGGGCAACCACCATCGGGCGGCACGGAGTCAACATCTTTAGGAGACTGCGCATGATGGAAGCAAACTTTAAAACATTCTTGGGAGCACTCTGAAACAAAAGAAAACAAAACACGGCAACAAACAAAAAACAAACCAGCCTCGACCCCAAACAGCCAAAAAGCAACACGGGGCGACGAGCCCTTGCAGTGGCCATCTGCAGTTGGCACAAGCAACGTGCCAAGCAAACAACATCAGCCCCAAAACTCGTAGAGAAGAAGCAGGTTCAGTTGGTTTTGCCTGAGACTCTCATTTTTCCTGTTGAGGGCTGTAAGCAGGAAAAATGCCAACTGCACGCCCTCTCAGCATCTGGCATCTGACTGGGAGACACAGGAAACAAGGGAGACATGACCCTCACAAACTGGGAGACACTGGAAACGTCTGGGAGATGCAAGGAGACAAGCGGCTGGGAGAAACAGGGCTGTGTCTGGCATCTGACCGGAGAGACTGGGAGACACAAAAAAAACAAGCGCAACAAGACCCTGAGAATCTGGCATGCTGGGGAGACTGGGAAACACAAGGGGACAAGCGCCCCTGCCGGCGTCACAGCATCTGGCATCTACACAAGACAAGCGGGAGACACGACCCGGAGCTCTGGCATCTAACATAAGACACGACACGACCCCGGAGCTGACGTCACAGCCTCTGGCATTTGAGTGGAAAAACGTCAAAGCCTGGCATTTGGCCGGAGAATGGGAGACACCGGAGACAAGCAAGAGCGTCTGGCATCTGACCGAAGAGACTGGGAGACAAGAAGACAAGTGGAAAACACGACCCCGGAGCCAGCGTCACACTTTCCCATTCTTTAAGCTTCAAGTTAGAATCCCAACTTCGCTGTTTGGGGAATAAAGAACAAAAGGCACAAGAAGAAAAGAAACAAACTGATACAAACAAACAAGCAAGCAAGCAAACATGCAAACAAATCGACTTAAACAAATAAACCCCCAATCAATCTCAAGAACTGTGAAGAATCCGCAACGTTAAGCCATCCCAGGCAACGACTTGGTTCCCGGCTCCCACTCTTGGCCCCCATTGCACGGAATCACAATCATATTGCCCATAGCTTCCAAGGCGCGTTGGATGAACCATAGAGGATCCAGCAAAATGCTTCAGCCTTCGTCACCTTGACGCTGCGCAAGGCTTCATGCTTTGTCGCAACTGCACCGAAAAGCCATTGACCAGACGTTGAAGGCTTTCATTTGTTCATGCGCTCCTGACATAAGCTCTGGCGTGATGATATCCTCCAAATCTGCTCATTTCTAGGAACCTGCCAAGCGAAACCTTCAGGGAAGTCAACGGAACTGGCCGTCCATGGCTGTTCAAAACGGACCATCTGTGACACCAAAAAATCCTCTCTCTACAACTGCTTTGTCATCGCAAACAAAAATATTGACAGCGCAAAAAACAACTCAGGTCACACCCCCCACATGTCCACTCGCAAGTGGCCTTACCAAACACAACGACACTTTTGAGGATCTATTCAAACAAATAAGAGGCCATTCACGACAAGCTTTGTTTGTCGCACGCCATTTCCACAACACACGGCCACGTTTGTCTACCACGCGGCCACACGGCTGCCTTCTGGATCCCTCAATCGTGGCGGTGTCCAGCCAATTACTTTTGAAATCGCTTGCCTTAGTCGCAAGCTAGTCGAGCAAGGGGTTATCCCAGGTTTTGCATCTGCAGCATCACTGACGTCAGTGTGACGGCATCATCATATTGTCTGAAGTCAATTTAGAGGGTTATGCCAGCAAAGGGAAAACCGCCCACCAAAATTAGCGTACCTCAGGCCCTGTTGGCTGAGATGTGAAGCATCACGCTTCAGGGTTTCCGCAATCCAGTTTCGCTCCTGGCTGACCACCCGCAAGAGGTCAGCACGTTGAAGAGCATTGAAAATGGTGGTTCGTGCGCGATTTTGGCAGTGTTCAATGTAGTGTTCAATTTAGTGTTCAGTGTGGTTATCAGTGAGTGTTCAGTGTAGTGTTCAGTGAGCGCGTTGTAGTGATCAATGGGGCACTAACGCCTTGCATGCAAGGGTTAAAACAACACTTCCGTCGCAATGATTTGAGCTGGTTTGTCCGTTTTGGTTCATTGGCATGCCTTTGGCGGCTATGTGCTGCCAGATTGAACATTACGTTGGACACTGCCAAAATCGCAAAAGAAAACAGCATTGTCTACAAGGCGGCAAAAGATTGAAAGAATCTGAACCCTTTTGGAGTTATTTTACCACAAAGAAGGCGCAAATTGGAACATGCGTTGTTTGCGCGCTTTTGGCTGTGTTCCGAGTTGGTGTTTTGGTGGGAGGGGGGAACCTCGTCTCAAGTGAATGTCCGCCACAGGGCCGTTGGCCAAGCCAAGACATGCTCATGCAAAGAGTACCACACCGCCACTTGTCTGACTCAGTTGGATGGCTGGAGTCAATTACATTTGGGCGCGCCTCAAAATAGAGAATGGTTGTTTGCCAAAAGCGCTTGCGCCGACCGTGGCAAAAACATACACACCTGCCGCCAGGATACAAGGAGGTGCTGTCGCCTGCAAGTGCCACCCATCAAGTGTGAAACGCGACGCCACGTGTTATGGACTCTTGGGGAAGTGCATGGGGACAGGGCCCATCCCAGTCCAGGAAAAGCATTGATAACCATAAGCAACTGAAAAACCTGTCAAACACATTCATGCTTCGCGTAGGGCGTAGTCATGCTCAGCATTTCTACCAACTGGGTATGGGTTAAAAATTAAACCACCAGGGTACCGCAGGTTTTGGTCCATGTCCATTTACCAGCGTTCCATTTTGGGCACCTATTTTTGACCCACAGCCAATTGATGGACCGCGTATGATAAGCGTGCCAGATCTGTGGACGGACGTCAACAATATCGCAAGCCCACCCACCAACCGAATCAGAGTGAGGAATGTCAAGCAAAAACATAATAAGGACTAAGTAACACTGATCTTCCAAGGCGCGGCTGTCGATTGTGCTGGTTGATTGGGTCGAGGGCCGGCGGTCTCCCATCTTTGCTCAGGCTGACAGTCAGCGACAGGCAAGCTGAGGGCCAAATTGCTGTACGTGTCCAGAAACGTTGATGGAACCGAAGAAAGGTCTACTGCTACACGAGTGTACTTGTTTGGGCTAGCTACACGCTTCCCCAGACACCTTCTCCACACCTTCCACGCCTTCCAGAACCATAAAAAACACGCAAAACCAAAAACAGAGCTGCGCAGTCAGACCCGCGCTGTCTCTGACAGCGACGAAGCACGTTCACAAACGGGCAGCAGCACCAGTGCCAGAAACAGCGCAGGCAAACGCGAGAGCAGGCAGCAGCATCAGCAGCAGCAGCAGCAGCAGCAGCAGCAGCAGCAGCAGCAGCAGCAGCAGCAGCAGCAGCACCAGCACCAGCACCAGCAGCAAAACAAAAAGAGCGACAGCAACAACGACAACGACAAACGAAACCAGCAACCACCAGCAACTGCAACGGCGACAACGCAGCAACAGCAACAGCATCGACAACGGCAACGACAACATCAGCAAGAACGACAGCAACAACAACAACAACAACAACAACAACAACAACAACAACAACAACAACAACAACAACAACCACAAC